AAAGAAATTTGTGGTCCTCATGTGGAGGCTTCACTTGTTCTGTTTTAACCATTATGTCAACTCCAATCCTCTGGGACTGAATTCCAAGGCTGAGTGCCAGGGTGTGAACCAGGCCTCAGCATAAGGAAAAAGACTTAGACCTATAGTTAATAGAAAAACAGAAAATATGTCTTTAGCACAAGACTTTACGTTTTCTTTAGAAAAAGAATGAAAATAACAGTTCAGAATGACAAATAAACTGATTGGGAGGCCGGGGGGATAGTCCCAATCCACTCAAGGAGGCATCAAGGTAAATTCTTGTACTTCATTGTATTGGAGCACAATTTGCCATTTTTAAATCAAATGATGTACAGTACACTGACTAAAGAGAGAGAATCCCACATCTAAAGATAACATGGACTGTACTATTACAAACACCAATACAGCAATGGCACTGTATACTAGTACTATTTAAAGTGTTTGGTTGGTAGATGGGCAGATGAAGCGTGGGTGGAAAGACAGATGTGGGGATTGTGATGGCAGAAACAAATCAGCCCATAACAAAGCAGTAACTGTTACGCACAATGGTGGTTTCTGAAACTTAACAAAGACTTTTTCGTAGCAAAATATAACTTTATTTTGTCCCTTACACGACCAAAGCGGGATAAAAATCAAGATACTGTAGACCTGCCAACGAAGATGCTTACATCAAGAAGAGCTAAAATGCAAAACCGTTGGGAAAAGCACTTAAGAAATCTCTGCAATAGTAAACAGGTTCTCTGTGTTTTTATTCTGGAGTCCTGCCTACAGTGATAGACTATTGTTTTTGTTTAAAACGCTCAAACTGTATTCTTAAAGCCCAAAGTTGTAGATGAAAGACCTGCTCTTTTAAACTGCTCAATAGTAGAGAAGGCGGAAAAAGAAAACCTATTTTACTTCACTCGGTAGTTAAATACTGTATGTTACAAAAGATTACTGACTTCACGGGCGTTGTGCGCATTAAGAAAGACTTGACATTTCGGTGTAACTTCACACTTTGTTAGAAACAGGCACAGTAAAAACTTTACAACCTTTGGATCCTCAGAAGAAACCACATCGTTAAAACTGCTTTCATCACCAAACTGATGTCGAAGAAAAAGTATTCTTTTATTCTTTTAATTTTATGGGTTTGCCATTTGCAGGTTTCACAACAGCAAGGTAACAAAGAAAATCACTGCTGCCAAGAAAGTAAGGCTGGGTATTGCTAACAATCTCACGATTCAAATTGATGTCAATTCAGTATGAAGTAAAAATACACAAAGTACAGTAATTAGAGTAGCAGGTCACAGCTGAACCACCTCACTGCCAACTAAGACTGTAGCAAAAGCTCCTCCCTAATGCACCCAGTGACTCTGTAGGTGTCCCTCTCCAACAGCAGGTGGCATTGTTCTCAAATGAGCTTTTGCTGTCCTTAAACACAAGGGACATGAATCGATTCAGAAGAATTGATACTGAATTGGACGGGAAAGAACTGCCATGCATTGCTGAATCAACATTCTTACCTACCCCTACTAGAAAGATGCCCATTCCCCTCAGAAGAAAACAATATGTTTATGTATACCATATGCTCAAAATTCCTCAATATAGAGTACCGCATTTGCGGACTATAAGGTGCTCCGGAGTACAAGTCACACCAGTGCCCTTTAGTGGCTGTTAGTGTGAAAATAACGAACAAAATTTTATATTTAAATATAAAGTTTGCATCTGGGTATTAGTCGCAAGCCCAGCCAAAGGATGAAAAATCTGCAACTTATAGTCCGGAAAATACGGTATATGTGTAACCGTATGTGTTACTCATTCAAAGAAGCGCTATAAGACAGACCTTTGACATGACAATTAGGACAAAAACAAACCGCTTCTGTTCAAAAGGGCTAGAAGCTATATTCAATTCTGAAAACCCAAAAGCATCAATAACTTTAGGTTTATCCAAAGATACAGTGGACTGTATGCACAATGGAATCAAGACAAAGTGTTACATTTTGGTGGAAATGTAATTTGGCTCAATTATTTTAGGGTCACGCACAAGTTTGAGCCAATGCCAGTAGTCAACAGATGAGGGCGTGGTACACATTGAACAATTCACCAGCTCATTAAAAGCAATGTAGAGACAACAAGCACTAGAGCTTACACTCAAAAGAGTAGAAATAACATTAATTTCTACTTAACATGTTTGAAGTAGCAATCACCATAAACTTTAGGTCATACTTTTGCTCTAGTAGGAAGCTGGGATGTGAGAAGAAGAAGCACAGGTATTTGAAGTAACCTCTTGGCAGAAACCACATTCTTCCATATAAAAAGTTATGATTACACACAGTGATCGTAATGCAAATATTTATGTCTTATTCAAGACAACAGCATACGATTACTGGAAAAAACAAACCAGCAACTGGTCCCAGGAAGATGGCCTCTCTACAGAGCACATTGTGCAGCTGCAACTTCTTTCCATTTCGCTGTTTAAGTTTTGTGTCCACCGTTTAATTTGAGAATCATGAAACAACTTGTACAAAACAAGTCTTTGAGCTAAAATTAAAGAATTCACTGTCAGGTCTGAACTTGCCAGCAAGAGACAGGAGCTCCAGGGTGCCCAAGTCACACAGGGCTGTCAGCATAATACATCATGTCACATGTCAGCCAGACCATGCTGTTTAAAGCCAAACCAGGTGGTCCACTGTGTTGACAACCGCTCTACAGTCAAATGAGTACCTGTGTGTTTGTGTGTGTGTGTGTGTGTATAATACTTCACTGATGTATGTTGTTTTGTCTAGGCTGGTTTCTCTTCTAACATGAGGTATTGCCTGCTTACACCTGACTCTCTCTTCTTGTTCAGCATCACACTGAGCGCAGTAGGCAAAATAAACAACCCATAAAAAAATTATGTGCAAAAATATATACGACTCTAATAACAAGTTACAAAAGCTTATCGGGAAAGTGCGCTTGCCCATTTAGAATTTCAATCGTACTGTGCCACAGGGAGGTAAGCAAATATGGATATGCTGAAACATTGCGATATTTCATTTCACAGTATCATATCCATACATTATAGTACTGCATCGATTTTTTAAATTAACAATAGACACGCAGATATTCACTGTGTGGTTCATTTTATTTGGCTTCTATTTCTTCTCTAGTGATTACAAACACACAGTAGATCCTTCTGTTCCAACATGGATGAAATAATAACGTAGCGGCTTTATTCAAATCTTTGAGTATGATGCTCATTTACACCTTTACTTTTAAATTGTTGAAAACAACAAAACACATATAATATGTTTTCAGCAGGTGGCTGTGTGGCCTTTTCCCACTAAAATTATTTTACTTTGCACTAAAAACCAGCACACAATCCTTACAGCACTTTGACTTCAGTGTGTTATTGTGGGTGGCTTTCTCTACTGACATTCTTTTATTGTGCAGTGAATTCCAGTGAAACCACCCTCACAGCAAAACTGTACTATCGAAAGTAAGTGACAGTAAAAACATTCTCCGCTCTCTGGCCCTTTTCCCAGAATTGTAAAAGTTTAAATGTGTCCATAATTGCTAACACACCTGTAACAGTCCAGGATCGTGTTCCGTGGATGTTTATATCTGGGCCCCTTTCTTTTTCCCTTCTTGACAGCTGGGGGAGTCACATGTTTTTTATTTAACAGTTTTACTGTTAGGACCCTCATCGCTGCTCTTTGCTGAAGGTTTTTTCTATTTTAATTCACTGAGAAAATAGTGTTTCTTGTCATTTCACCATGCTATTTTGAGGTGCATTAAAAATGCAAAATTTGCCAAATCATAAGATCTGCTATAGGGAAGCCCAACTTTCTTCTGGACAACCAGGGTTGAAATTGACCTTTGAACAGCTGGACTGCAGCAGCTGTAAATTCACAAAAGAACAGAACATCTTCACTTTTATTACTAAGAATTTCTTGGCCTTCCTGTTTGGGAAACTTCTCCCATGTTTCTCTTTTTGCCATTTCATGAAATCCTCTCTGGCAAGTTTGTTGAGTTCATTATATTATGATTTATTTTGATTTATAGCCCTCACAAATAGCTTTATAACTCTTTGTAAAAGCACTGTTGCAGAGGTCTGATACACATTAAACCATAGCAAAGCCTTGATTAAAATAGATGAATATCTGAGATATGATTTGCAAAATGATTTCACGACATGTGGGACATGTTCACAACAGGGGAGTCATTGTTCTACATTTAAAGTTCAACACGACCACTGAGAACTGGTTCGCCTTTTGTGCTGCCTTGGTACTAACATTTGTATTTAATTTTTTTTTTTTTATCAACTAATCAAACCCACTACAAAGATTTATACAACATTTAATTCTATCAAAACAGCAAATTTCTAACTTTTCTGTTACGAAATCCAAACCAAATATATTTTAACATTATCCCTCAATGCTTTTATTGGGTCATACCAAGAATACAGTGCTGCAGGGGGCAGTACTGCAACTCTAAAGGAGCAGAGGTGCTGTTTAATAGAAGAAGAGTTGGGGACCTTTCCATCCTTCCCTTGTCATATCTAGGGATGCAACGATAATCGATGCAAAAAAACTGATGCAAATGGTGCTAAATTTTACATCATTAAAAGGAAGCTTTTATACATGTACTTGTAGGTTTTGGGTGTTTGGGTTGGCATCTGATTTTTTTTAAGTGTAAAAGCACATGCGGTCCATTCATCTATTTCTTCCACCCTAACTACTTGGCACATTACAACATTCCAACCAAGAACACCTTAAATAAACAACTCAGCAACATTCCACCACCTGTTGTGAAACTTTTCTTACCAATACCTGAAAACTTTGACACTAAGTGGCAAACTTTATAAATGCACAGTATAAAGTTGCAACCAAGTGTGCAAATACTGTGCAGCAACACAAAGTCTCTGTATTTGAGATCTGCCAGTAAAAATATATTTATGCACATTTAATTAGACTGTCATCATTTCAGCACAAACACATTTTGTTTCCAGCATGTATTACTATGGAGATAATTACTGTACGGGGCATAAAGACACTCAATGTACTCATTATGTATCTTCAGTGTCAGTGGTTCAGAAAATCAAGACACCAGTGACTTTTGGTCTAACCAGAGTGAATACATAGGTTTAGCAAATAAAGGTGTCATTTGACCCACAGCACTGAAAAAAGACGGCCAGCAAAGAGTCACACATTCATCTAAAATGATGAAAGATTGATTAGTTATTATAAGTCATTACAAAGTGGTTGGGCAGATACCACAGACATTCCTCCTGACAAAATACCCTCGTGTTCTGGTTGCCTTTTTATGCTCCCACTGCAGTTTTTACAGTGCAATTTTCCTTCACCAATTCTGTGCATTTAACAAAAATGTATTATATTTCCAAAAGTGTCATATACATGCATGTGTTTCTGTTCATGTGTCTGTGAAAGACAAATGTGTATCTAAGAAAGCTCAGTTTTTATTTTCTTGCTTTCTTTCTCTCTCTGTCACGCTCTTTCTCTCCCTCACCCCAAACAGACACACAGCAGATGGATGGTGGGCCGTCAAGTAAGGGTTAAATACTCTCTCCCCTGTAAACTCAGCTTTAAAAGTCTGCTGGAAGCTACTGGTTCAGCCTTTAAATACAGACATTTGACACATCCCAAACAGGGGTTTATAACCACGAACAACTACTGACCCAAACCTCAGGCTTTAAGGTTGGCTGGAGTGTCAGCATCACACTGCTTTGAACGACATGAAGGCTTTCTTATTCACCTGTATGTTGGTACCATGGCTGTTAGCAGCCTCCAGCAGAAGGGTAAACGAGGAATCGCAGCTGATACCAGGATCTATATCTACCGTGAAGCTGAACAAATACTTCAATTACTACGATTTGAAACCAAGGAGGGTTATGGTAAGATCTTTGCTTTCATTACATAACACCAACATAGAATTTTGATCAAGAACTTAAGGAAGAAACAATTCTCTATTTTGACATTGTCTATGTGGTAATTTACTAGTTTTGTGTTGTTTTTGCAAGTTATCCAGGTTAATTGCTAAGGATAATTTCTTCTAAGGCTTGATTCAGTGAAACTACAACAATCTTCAATAAATAAACCAAACCCTAGCATGGTTTTCTGTTGGGAAAGCCACATACAAACCCAGATAATTAGATGGATGGTTTCAGAGTAAAATATGGCTGTAAAACACAACTTTAGCTGGTTTACATCATTTCCTTCTGAGACAGAATTATATTTAAAAAAGTAGTAAAAGTAAACTTGTAGTTTGTTCTTTAACTTATTCTACAAAAACATGACTTGGAGTTGATTTTAAAACTATACATTTTTTAAAATTGGTAATTTAAAGAATGCAACCAAGACATTTACAATGTAGTTAGTTAGTTACAAATAGTGGTTGACATTAGAACAAGCAACTTAACTTAAATACACAACACAGGCATAGATGTTGAAGCAAATATGCAGCTCTGTGGACTAATGCATTCAAGATTTCTATGTTGTCTTCATAATAATAGGTGTGTAAAAAGTGCACCAGATGGTGGTTCTGTCCAGAAGAAAACAAAAGTTAGGAACGGCTTCATTTTAGAATAAACATCATTGACCAACTCTTGTATAACAACCATAGAATTTATGTATTAAGTACAAAGCTTGACTTATTGTTTAATTATTCCAAATCTAAACTCATCAATCTTTTACCAAAAGTAGTTTTCAGTCCTTGGTGCACCTGAAATACCAGACCACCACCACCAGACACCTGCAGCATCCCCCCAACATTACTAATTTACTGCAAGACAACTAGCAACAGCTGTAAAAAATAAAAATAAAAATCAAGTTGTATTGTTTATGTGCACAGTGTACTCAGTTGTTTAATGATAGCATTATTGTTAAATTATTGTTAAATTCAGTATCAGCCTGGTTTCAAATGTATTTTTGGTGTTCACTACCAGTTTATCACATCAAGCTAAAAACGAACCTTTGTTGTACCGTTGTAAAGTTAAAAAAGTTTTTTGACTCAAAATGTTTGCCAATCGCCCTTGAATATATGAATTGACTAAACCTGGAAGTGACCACTGCTGTAAACATGATTGATAATAATCAATTATTGCATTAAGAGTTTCCCTGAGGAAACTTTTTCTTTTGCTCTGCCTCAAATTATTAAAAAAACGTAGAACTCCAGTGAACCACTATCATTTCAGTTGTTCAAATATTTAACATTAAAATCCAGACCAGTGAAGCTAAAGCATTGGATTCCACTATTACAGCCAAGCTGGGATAAAACCCTGTTCTCCTACACATGTCCAGAAAAAGCAGTAACAGCAGGAGAGCTGCTTGTGCTTCAGCCAGTAACAGCTTCCAAGCGATAAGGAGATGAGCTTCCAGAACTCTTCAAATTAAAAGCATGATATTATGATCTGTCTTTCATGCATTTGGGATTGACTATCAATCCTTGGTTTGCGAGGGATTTACAACCCATGTAAAACAACTGCTATACTTGAAATGTCTAAACATCTTCCCAGTTCATCTTATAAGAAAAAAACAGTAAAAAATGTAGACCATATTGAGCTGCACTGCAATGAGAAGACTGTACATAAGTGAAAAAGATAGACTGACACAGTCAGGGTAGAATGGGCAGAAATGAGCTGTGTACTACTTGAACTAACTGTATTTCTCTTGTAGAGAGACCTGCCTCTTGACGATGATGATGATTCTGACAGCCCAATTCCAGATGGAGCCAGCGCTTTAGGTAAAAACAAAATGGCATCTGAGTCTATATGTCAAACACATTCAGTTAGTTCACAGATTTTGAGTGTTCATAGGCTACATTGTGGGTCGGGGGCAAAACTAATAAAGCAGAACAGCAACTTAAGTATTTACAGATGTTAGCTCCAACCACAGGAAATACATTTATGTCAAGAATAATTCAATATTTTACCAAGGAATGGTGAATACAAGCCAATACTGGCTAGATAGTCCAATTTAAAAGAATGCTGGACCTTTTCACCTTCATTTGGATAGACTCAATGCTGAGAAGACATAAAGCAGGTGGTGAGGGAGAGAGAATCTCAGCCCAGGATTCAAACTGGATAGAGTGAAAAATCCATAACTATTGGATAGGGATGGAACTGACGCATCATGAATCGATTAAAAACGGATACAAATGTGTAACAATTCACACAATTGGTTGAAATAAAAAATTAATCATGCATCAAGGCATAAGAAGCAGGCTGAGCTATCTCGAGAAGTCAGTGGTCACACCGTGACACTACACACTCTAGAACTTTAGGTGGCGGTACGCACCCAAAAATGTTAGTTGTGACCTGCTATTAAATCAAGTCTAGTCCCTACCTAGCCTAAGCGATGTAAATAAGACAAGACCCGTTAACTTTGATAAGAGGAGGTAAATGGTGATGTGCAGAGTTTCTGTTTAGAAATGTGCTTTTTTGTATTCTGTGATTTCAGATGAAAATTACAGTTTATAAGGTATACAAGAAGCTATAACAAATGCATGATTGTTGTATTTAGTAAAAATTGTGATAAAATCATATTGACATGCATTGTATCATGAGTTCAGTGCATAGTTATTTTTTGGAGTAAAGCCTTGACACTTCTGTGGTGATTTTGTGCTGCAGACCTGCCCACCTGTCTCCTATGTGTGTGTCTGACTGGCTCCGTCTACTGCGAGGAGGTCAGTCCAGACATGACAGCCATTCCAACGTTGCCTAAAGAGACTGCATACCTTTATGCTCGCTTCAACAAGATCAAAAAGATCACCAACCAAGACTTTGCAGAAATTGGTAAGGTCATAAGAAATGTAAGGGACTTCCAATGCAAATCAAACACCAGTTTTTATAATCTTAGACTGATTTGAGCCCACTGGCAAAAGGACCATTCAAACTTCAATTTGATAGGTCGACCGTGATGGACTGGATTGCCATGGACAAAATTATAGAATTGAATGTAATGTGAAAAGGACACAAATAGAGGATGAAAATTTTCAAAATTACATTTCTGGCTGCATTTTGGTTTTGGCGATCGGTGAGGCAGACATTTAGTTTGTCTTGAAGCGTATCAAGTCTTTTGGACCTGTGTGTCTACAACATCTGCTCCATGAGTTTTCCCTGGAACACATTTGGACACCGTCTATCATAAATCATTAATCACACAAGACTTTTATTGAAGCATTACATCTGCTTCTGTCATGCAAATAAATGACCAGTTAACGTACTAGAATCACATACAAAGATGTGTCTTTAATGCCTATAGACATAATACAATTTGCAACTGCATCAAATTGTTGGGTAATAAGACATGCAGGTTTTCTAGTGAGTTCCTATGACTAAATCATATCAAACAGTAGAAACATACACGTTTAGTCTAAATTTGACCAAACGTTTGCCACTCCTAGACCTGGGTTTATCTTGTTGTCTGCCGATTCTTGGTAGTACAATGATTGTGAAAAGGGGATGCGTGTATCAATTAAAAAAATTAAATGCTAACATGAAGACATGGGATCCAACAGCATTGTGGCTGTAAAGAAGTTAAACATTAAAACTTTAATAGATGTTTTTTGTATCTGCCAACAGTGACTCTGAAGAGGATTGACTTGTCGGGCAACTTGATCTCAGAGATTGAAGATGGTGCCTTTTCAAAGCTAACCCTTTTAGAGGAATTGTCTCTGGCTGAAAACAGATTGGTCAAACTGCCAATGCTTCCTGCCAAACTCAGATCCTTTAACGCTAACCACAACCTCCTCAAAACCAAGGGTGTCAAAGCTAATGCCTTTAAGGTACAGTACATATCATCAACTTTCAATCTTTAAGCTAGCCATCTTTCTAACGACTGACTGCACAAAATGATTACGAGATTGTTTTCTGCACTAGCATGCAGTTGCTGTGTTATAAGTGTTTCCTACCTGAAGTAAAAAACAAAACATTGATTGATGTCTAAATTTGTTTTTCCCCCCAGAAACTGACCAAGCTGGTCAACCTGTACCTTGGAGATAATCAGCTGGAAGCCGTTCCATATATTCCAGAAAGTGTTCGCAGCTTACATTTACAGGTACATTAAAATTACAAATATTTATTTAAAATATTGTGTAATGTTTATCCCATCTCTCCTTTGAAAAAAAAAATAATTCTGTACAATATTTTTATTTCCCCAAGAACAATAACATCACTGATGTCAACAAAGACACTTTCTGCAGATCTAATGACACGTACTATCTACGACTAAGCCTCAGTGAGGTTCGTTTGGATGGTAATCCAGTGGTGTTGTCCAAGTATCCTGACAGTTTTGTCTGCATGAAGGTGTTGCCTGTTGGAAAATACCGGTGAGGAAACAGAACCCCTATAACCACCCCAATAATGGAGCTGTTTCTCCTCCGTTTATGTGAAAGGGTTACTGATATATTCAAGATTTTTGGGGCATTAGTGCCATTATAGCAGTGACTAAGAACAACAAGTAGCAAAGTGAAATCATTCAGCTGACAAAAGGTATAATATTTACTCTGGCTTTTGTCTGGAAGCTACACAAAAGCCACAAGATTTTAAAACAACTTTAAGTGTATGAATTCAACAAGACTAATTTGTCTGAGAGTGATTGAATCTGTATAAGGTATACAGTCTTTCCTCAAAGGTAGAGGCTGCCACTGGCGAATCTCTGTCTCCATCCACTTTTACACATCTTAATCACTCAACAACTCATTTTCAACAACAACATTTTCCACAGCACTTTAGTTGTAACGCTTAAAGTGTTACAAATTAAACAAACAACAAAACAAAACTCTACAAAAATTCTAAAAATAGTTGGAAACCATCATTAAACATATGTGCAGCCACAATTCAACCAACTCGACTGTCCTTGAACTAAACGTACTGTATTTCTTGATTTTAAACACACAGCATACATGTTTGTAAACTCTGATACAAATTATGACAGGAATATTGTTGTCCAGAGTTTCAGGGAAAGTTTTTATGCGATAATATAAAGAATTGATCCGACATGTCAAAGCGATTTCTGCTCGGCTAGTCATGAACACAAGGCTAAATTTACAAATTTGCTTGAGTTATCGACAAAGAAATGATGCCAATGGTGGACTATTTTAAATGCCTTTTGTGATCAAATGGGAACCTCCCAGTTGTTTGACCTTTTCAGTCTGACCTCTGTTACAACTTTTTGAAGTGACGTACAGGTATAAATTTCTAAATTTGTTAACATTTAACAAATGGAATAATGTTTGTCAGTGAAAACACATTTTCTGTTCTTTTTCTTCTTGGTTTAAAAAAAGATCCAAGAGAAATAGATTCCATATTTAACTTTGGTTGCTTGCTTTGGTTTAGAAATAGGGGTTTTCAGAATCTGCTCCAGTTTTATTTTCCATTTAATGAGCCATTATGTGATTATTCTTTTAATACCATTTAAGTCCCAGAGAGATGAGTGAGAAAAAGAGATGCTCCAGCATCTGCTAAACAAAATAAAGTTAAATCAATGTTGCGACTTAATACTTGACAACTGCATGTTCATTTCAATGGTTTTCTGAAATTGTATTCAAAGAGAGAAAGTGTCTCTGAACATTACTGTCATTTCTCTTTTATTAACATTTTGGTTGCTTTGAGATTCTTTTCTTGTCACACAATTAATCCCAGACGATCCAGACAGCTGTTAAATATCAGAGTGTCTTCAGCAGAAACAATCAAAAATGCTTTGTTTTTATGCTTTGTTAAAGACATTTTATGTTTTTTCAAAGACACAACATCCTGGGCTTTGCCGATGTTGCAAATAATGTTACACTTTTATAACTCCATTAGCGTTGCTTCTTAGGAAAGACAATGTATTTGTCCCGCTGGAGCTGTTACAAGTGTTTGTGTCTTCACTTAGTTTTATTTTCTTTTTAATTTAATTAAATATACTCCAGATAAACTATCATGACCTGGGAGCAATGTATCTTTAAAGTATAGTAATGTGAAAATTACTCCTGTCATTGTTGGAGATATGTATGTGATTATGCCTGTGTCTTTTATATTTTAATAAAGGTGAACCTTTTTTTTAAAGAAATTCTCATTTTATCCTCTTACAGCTATACCACCAGCGCTACACTTGTCTGTGTCTGGAGACATTTGTAATATTTTATTTTGAAATGTGAAATCAGTGTTGGCCACACATTTGTAAATGTCTGTGCTTTGTTATTGGGGAGCGGCCAATCATCTGCATCCCTGCAGGGACGGGCTAGTTTATGTTTTGAGGTTAACCACCAACAAAAAATGTTGAAATTCCAGGCCTGGACTTTCTATAAAATCATTGTTTCATTTTTAAAAAATTTGTTTGTTATTCTGAGTGCAGATTCGTGTCAGTGTGTCATTAGAGAACGGGACTGAGCGTTCAAGTCACTATTGAACTCAGCTGCACATTCACAAACTAAGAGAAAGATACTTTGTCGTAATAACACTCAACAAAATGCAAAGAAAAGTTTAGAGCACACAGGCCATTATGGAAAATGTGGGTTAATACTCCTTATGTTCAGCCAACTTGGCAAACACTAATATTCTCCGAGCAAACAGGGAAATGCGTTCCATACTGCCTTTTACCATTTGATTTACTGTGACATTTTATAGCGCTCATTTCAGTGAATTCTCACGCTGATATTTTGTACTGGGGTTGGGATAAAAAAAAGCTTAATTCTAAGACCTATTATAATTACCTCCAGAATATGTTTGAAACACAGAAACATTAAAAATCAAATGTAAAAGTGATATCAAACACTCTGTGTCTCTCTTTCATAATCTCAGGGCTCCAATCATTTAGCGTAGTTACTCAAAAACAAAGCTGTTAATAATGTAATAAGTGTCATATGCCTTTTTACATACCTGAAAGTGCTGGAAGGTTCTACACCTGTCATTACATCTCTCTAGGTACGTCCTTAAAGTCCTGAAGAACAGCAACAGATCATTGTTCTCTTTTGCCCTGAAATGAAATTATATGAATGATAAAACTGCTTTGAATTGAATGTTATAGACACATGAGATGAGACTTCTACTGACACCTGCAGTCACATTAGAGTATAGAAGTAATCTTAACTGACTTAAAGAACATAAAGTAAAAATAGCAGAACATCACATTAACATTTACTGCAGAAAAAGTTTAATTACGATAAAATACTCCATAGTCCATATGGTATAAATGTAAGCATGTTATTAGTACAATTATATTTTTTATGTTTCAAGATGTCAATAGCAAAATAACATAATTTGGGTGGGCATGATTATGAACCAATCTGAGACATTCTGTCTAAAGGTTTCCAGACTTTTCCTGGGGATCCAGGGCCAGACGGCAGTCGTCTGAAATTTCCAAACCACTCTCTCCCCACAAACAGCTGATGAAAAAATTACAATACCATCTTATATGTAGGCAGCATTAACAGAAAAAATACATTGTATTGATAATGCTGGGCTCCAAAGAAAACAAGTGGTTAGTTGTCTAATTGTTCCAAGTATACAGAAATATGTTTGCTTCGGGGATTTGTTGCTGCAAGTGATCATTAAAACAACCTGTTCATTGGAATCTTCTCCTAAGTTTCAGACCTGGCTCGTACTCGATCTCCTGCTGTTGTTCTGACCTCAGCACAGTTTGGCCTCATGTCAGCAGCCTGGTTTGGATCAGTCCAACAAGCTGTTACCAAATCTCTTGGGTTGTTACTACTGCAAGTTCTAGCTGGGCATCTAGTAGTTCACGGATAAACTTTGATTACTAAACAGTTACTAAACTATACACAAAGTCAACGTGAAGTAATTGTCCACACTAACACATTTTATTCAGCTGAATTTTATTGGCTGTAAATCTTTATTTAGAAAATCCCTGCCTCCTTTTTTTTCAACTTTTAACCTTTGCATTTATTTTTGTGTCAAATGATTGGTTGCATACATTTGTCCTTATGAACAGACTTGGTGTGTAGTATTAATAATTTAGCAATTACACACAGCCTGTGAAAGCAGCTTAAGAACATCAAACAAAATCCTGCAAACTGAATCAAGAAGCAACTTTTTTGAAGCAAGCAAGAAAGAATTGTTTATGTAACTACATTTGGTTGTGACTGACGGGGAATTTCACTAGAAGCAGTTTGACTTAACAAAGCTCACTCTGGTACTGTTTAACTGTAGTCCTCTCTTACGCGCGCACACGCACACACTCACAATACAGCAGTGTGTAAGAATCATTATCTCCAGTATTTTTCCGTCTGCTTCCTGCCAGACTCAACAGACTAGACCATACATTCCAGATGTGGTTTGGCCTCAGATTTGGAGCAAATTAGACTTAAGCTCAGTACAGACCTTTGACATGAAAGATACTTTCTGCCAAGGTGTGTTTACATAGATAGAAAATGCACCTGGGACAAAAACAACAACTACAACCTGATTAATTGACGTAACACCGAGTGACGAGTGTGTCCGAGGATGGATCTAAGAAAGGTCAGGGGCAAATAAGGTGATCTCAGCATCATGGGAGTTGACCAAAGTCCCAAGCTAAACTGCTATGTTGTATACACCAGATATATAGCATTTCCAACAACTTGCTAGGCCATAAAGTCACCGCCATGCTTCCTCCACCTCAACATTTTTTAAGTGTGCAGAACCTTTGCGGTTATTCTGGAGAGGATATTTTAAACAATACTTGGCCTCGGTTTTGGATGGTTGACCTGACAATAAACATACATTTGCATAAACATATTTTGACAACTCCCATGTTTAAAGTCTTGAACTTGGTACATTTGTAACAAAACAAGGGTGTGATTAAAATTAAATTGTTCTTATTTTTTGTTTGTTTGTGATCTATACAAAAGTACTGTGACAGTCAACCATCAGTTGGCAGTTAAGCAAGTGTGACAGTGAAGTAAGTGCCAGAAAAGGCTTTTTAATGTTTTCAGAATTAAAACCTCAACTCCCTCATATTCTTTCTCTCTTACATTAGCATTGAATTATACTGGTGTGCTCATAAGAAAGAAATATAAAGTCTCTGAGCAGATGTGGCTTGTACAGTATATGATTTTTTTTAAACTAAAATTGTGGGTGGTTACTCTCCTGAACATATAATGAATGTAACATGTCACACTTGTGGGGGCAACACATGAGCACTTAGAAAAGCGTGTTGTTTGTGAGTCAAACAAAGGAGATAAAGTGTGAGAGACTGTGTTCAGCTGGACGACAGATGTTTAATAACCACTTGGGTTTTACCTAAAAAGGCTGCTTCATCCTGGCAGGAATAACAAACAGTATCAAACATGAAGAGTGGGTCTGAAAGTGGTTCTACAAGTTAAGGAGTTTGTCTCCTCAGTGCACCAATACAAACACTAACAACCATCATCATCATATATTTGTCATACCGCCACTGTAATGACCAGCTCTAACAGGAGGAAAATGGGCTGAGTATGACATCAGTCTGCAGTATTCCAGCTTACCCTGACATGAAGTTTTTGAAGCTCTGGTGATCAGTGGTGTCCATCACAATGTTCAGATCACTGACTGTTCTCACGGAGCTGTCACCCTGCTGCAGGACAAACATACCAGTTACGAATAGTAATAAAAAAGTACAGTTTGTTGATTGATCTATTTTAGTTTGATGGTCAGTATAGTTTAGTTTGATTCCTCAGTAAAACATATAATATATTCACAAACTTCATTAAATACATTAACTTCACAAACTTTACACAGAGTCTGAAGAGTTTAATACTGAGAGACCAAAATGGTTTTGCAACTACATGGTTATGAACAATAAGAAAAAACACCTTAGCCAACGTTTGCTCTGACCTGACTCTTTTACAAGTCAAATTTGACACTCATGTCCCATTTGAATGTATTATTTTTTATTTCAAGGTAAATTTGTGGAGAACATAATTTTCTATAGTGAGGCTGGTACACACAACCTTTCATCAGTAGAAAATACACATTTAAAATTATCGTGAAAGTGTTTTTCAAAACAAGTCAAAACTTTGGAGAAAAGCAGTGATTTTAATGGCATTTTTACGAGCAAGTTACAGAGGTGTGATTTAACAGAAACATCTGTTCTGGTGTTGAATGCAGAAAAATGAAAACCAGAAAAATAAACAATGTGAGTTCACAGAGCAATAAAACAGAATCACTTTAGTAAAACTGATTTCATACTGCCTACTATTACTACACTAATGTTACTATTACCTTTTAGCATCTAGTGATTAAATATATTACTAGAATCCAAGGAATAACCACAGCTGCTGTTAAATTTGGTTTTGTAAATAAACCCATCAAACTTCCATTTCATTGAAATCCTTCCAATTTTTTGAATAATAACTTTTAATCATTTGTACTTTGGAAGTGATAGCATAGCATTGAAGCACTAATGGTTTCTGGCAGTACCAATTTCATTTCTAGATTTTATTTGACATATATTTTATTATTGACTAATTCAACACGTGGGACCTGTTATTAGTAAGTGTTTTGCTGTGATTACCGATGTTTAAACTTTGAGCTACATGCTCAAACGGTGAAATATGTTTTTGGTGTCCTCTGTCACCCTCTGCTGGATATCGACTGTAATAACACTGGCTTTGTGAGTCGCAGTCCACAGAAATGAGTTTAAAGAAATAACGGCTGTGCAGTTTGGATTGAATGAGAGAACTTCTGGTTATTAACTAAACTGGTGTCAACAAAAACTAAACTTCCTAATGCTCACCTTTTCTTCAGACAACTGGAACTCCACCTGGAATTCCTGTTCAGAGCAGTGGCCTGATATACACAGCTGCTGGATGCACTTGTTCTCACCTGTTAGAAGAACACATCACATCTGAATAAATACACAGAAACTTTACATTATTATATGAATTCAGAATAAAATCACTTCAAGCTTCAAATAATAATACAAATAATAACAATAATACAAATGACCTGTGAGGACAAAATAATAACAATGTTTATGTTCATTGAGTTACAAAGTTTAATTTCCACTGGATTTTACTTGATACAGCAGGAAACACTGAGGTTTGTGCTAAAAATCAACAGTTCGCCTACTTCTTTGAAGAGTCTTTGTGATGCAGCTGTCCAAATTGATTCCATTCATCTGTGTTTGTCTCCTCAGACCCTCCTCCATTTTATTCACCTCCTCCTCCAGCTGAGACATTACCACCTCCTTCCTTCTACCTTGAGTCTGCCCACAAACAAATGACCTGTGAGGACAAATATACAACAGTTACCATAACACAACAGCAATGTTTGTTCACTTACACTTGTTCTGTTGAGAACAAATGCAGTTTTTCACATTTAATCCACGGTATGCAATAAAAGTGCAGGTACTTGGTTCTTGTAAATGTACAGTATATGTAACTTAATGGATTTGGTAATAGAAAATAAATTGATATATAATTAGCTTAACGTTAATCGGGATTTAATGTAATCAGACGAGTAAATATGACCTATTGAATACTGAAATATCTATACATGAGCCGGTCTAACAAAAGAGAGAGACAGCAAAATAAAAACGTGCCGAGGTGCACATACTAACTCTAGTACTACCATTAGACATATTGAACAATATAATAAAAATAAAATGAGACGCACAGAGCATTCTGCATTTCTCCAGTGAAGCTGAACGTCATGTCTTTGTAGTTGTTCTGCTTCTGGCGCTCCAACTCCACAAGTTCTTCCCGGAGACGTTCAATCTGCGCTTCCAGGACTTTCACATCCTCAGAGTTCTCCTTATTCATATTTCCTGCAATTCTGGGAAAAGACCAAAATCGAATCAGTTTCAAAAGTGCAGAAGTCCGACTGAAAGTGTTTTAACCCGTATAATGTCTCACAATTTTGATCCTCCTAAAATTGCCCCAACTTATTTTGACCTAGTGATGTGTGTTCTAAAAGCAGGTAATCGATTAATTCGTGAGGTACATTTCGTTGTGTGTATTTATTTGTCTGTATATGTACAACGACAATTAAGGGGAATCTTCTTTTACTCGTCAATCAATTCTGAACTTATGTCCAACCTGTTTACATAAAGGTGTTACCTCCAAAGTACAAGAACAACTCGTAGTCCACACAAAGATAAAGGAGTCAATAAAGGTTTTAGAAATGCAACATCTTTTCTAGAAATGTAAACATTTAAAATGACAACTGTTTATCAAAACATAAACACAGCTACAGTGATAACAACACGAGAGTCCAACCACCCAATGACGCTGACGTTTTTCGTACCGTTCACCGAAATACAAAGAGACCTTTACATTAAATACTTTCAGACTTTACTAGTTACGCATTAGAGCTGTTGTCATTGTGTTTTATCAAATACATAACTAATTTTAACGTTTTTTCTCACCCAAAACAACGTTCGTCTTCAAACACAACGCAAAACAGATTCAGAGCATCGCGCCCTTTGGACGGTACCACTTTTAAGGCACCGGGGAGGGGAGACGAATGTGCTTCTCTGAAAACTGTTGACACAATGCGTTTACTAATAGGTGGACATTCTCTAAATTTCTATAATAACATATCGCTTGTGTGTTTTTATCTCATAATTGTCATTGTGATCACTGAGTTTAAAATAATATTAGGTATTAAGTAGTCAAAATCACCTTTAGTTCTTCAGGCTGGCCCTGCCCAGTTAACTTCATTTAACGAAAAGAAAATTTACGTTTTATGTTACCTATTTTCAACAATTTCGTTAGTGTATCAGAAATATTTATACATTTTCAAGAATATATAAATATTAGTGTAATTTAACACATTATTTTAAAATAAAATTACACTAAAAGAGCGGAACCTTCTGTCAAAGAAAGATGACGGAAGGATATATGGAAGGAAAGCAACCCGGAAAGAATAGGTAGTGACACCAGCTGGATACATGTGTGGTAAACATTTTTAAAAACGTTTTTCGCTGGATATCTATTTAAGCCGTCGTTTGCTTAGTGTGTATTTATTATTACAGAAAGAATTTCATTACTGCGGCTGTCATTAGGTGTCCATCTCAAATACATGTCTTATTAAAGAAACTTTGCATGTTTGATTTTTAACTGCTCGATCGCTCGGGGAACAGCTCGGGTCGGTTTTATATAGACACACATATGTAGACATTATATATCATTTTAATTTGTAATGAAATGTATGCGTTTGGGAAAAAGTGTGCTTAAAGGGTGTATAAACTGTTGATAAACATTGATTGTAATAGTATGAATACCTCAACTATATGTACAAATATTAGTGGAGAAGTATTTGGCGTTGGTGCGTATTACATATATATATATATATATATATATATATATATATATATAAGGAACCATTATTCCCGTTTCTGTATAATTCTCATTCGGTCATCTTGGTATCAATACAATATTATTCTCCTATTGTCCATTTATGAATGTGAAATCATTGTAAACAGTATGATTTTCTCGTTGCTGTCAGTGTTGCTGCTTCTACAAAGCGATGAGACGGCTGTACATTGGTGGGTTGAGCAACTCGGTCACCCAGAAAGATCTGAAAGACCGATTTGGAAAGTTTGGAGATGTACAGGATGTGGAGCTCAGAACAAAGAGGGATGAGGAGGGTGAGGAGTCCATAACCAACTAAGCTTGATTTAACTTTGAAATTTCACTATATAACAATTCTGTTTTAGTATGTGGTAGTTTTTAGAATCAAATCCCTCATTGAACCATCATTAAGCAACTGTAATTTTTTTTAACATTGGTTTTAACAAAAGACTTTGATAAATATAAGTTTGTTTGTTTTTTTTGTTCTGATTTTTTTTGCTGACATTTGCTGTTTTTTTTCTACAGGTGTTCCCTTTAAAACATTTGCCTACGTTAACCTCAACATTTCTGATGCCGACCTTAAGAAATGTGAGTGAACAGATTTGCTGCAAAGATCAAACGTGTCTTCTGTGTGTCCTAAACATATTATACTGTTCTCCTTGTTCTGACAAAATGAGTCATTGAATTGTGTTGTAAAGTTACAGTTAAATGAATTGAATTACATTGATATCAAAAGATGCCAGTTATTACTGAACTTTATGAAAGTTTTGTGTCTACATGTGCTTTATTTCCCTGTTTTTTTGTTCCTCAGGTTTGACAGTACTGAACAAATCCAAATGGAAAGGAGGAACTCTGCAGATAGAAACAGCCAAGGAGAGCTTCCTGCACAGGTAAAGCCATATTCAGATCAGAAATCTGTGCACTTTATAAGAGATGTAAGTTATGTAATTAACTGTAATGTTTTAAATGTAATGATGAAATATTGCTCTAATTCTACCCTCAAAGTAAATTGATTTTGATGCATGACATGTACAATGTTTGCGTCTCAGACTGGCTCAAGAGAGGCAGGTTGCAATGGAGCAGAACCTCTGTCAGCCTGAAGTGGAGGACAAGAGACGAAAGATGCTTGACTCCCTGAGTAAAGCTGGTGTTGACAATTTCACCATGAGGGCGGCAGTGCCAGGAACTGAAGTACCAGGGCACAAGGTGAGGTCTCCCTGTTTTCATCATGGTGCATCTCAGGAGTATTTTCCTCTCAGATGAAGACGATGAACTAACGACGTGATTATATTTTAATTTTAAGTACTCTTGTACAATCTTGTTTTAGGACTGGGTCGTCAGTAAATTTGGCCGGGTTCTCCCTGTTCTCCAGCTCAAGTGTAAGAAGGGGAACAAAGCCCGGACACTGAAGTACGACCCCTCCAAATACAGCCACAACATTCGCAGAATCAACCAGACCGAATCTGACACGCACACCCCTGTCTCCCAGCTCACATGGGAGGTACAAGGAGGTGATGATGACATCAGTAAAAAGAGGCGGGGCGAATTCCCTCCATATCAACCACCCAGACCCAAAAAGCGTTGGCTCCTATTGTCCATTTATGAATGTGAAATCATTGTAAACAGTATGATTTTCTCGTTGCTGTCAGTGTTGCTGCTTCTACAAAGCGATGAGACGGCTGTACATTGGTGGGTTGAGCAACTCGGTCACCCAGAAAGATCTGAAAGACCGATTTGGAAAGTTTGGAGATGTACAGGATGTGGAGCTCAGAACAAAGAGGGATGAGGAGGGTGAGGAGTCCATAACCAACTAAGCTTGATTTAACTTTGAAATTTCACTATATAACAATTCTGTTTTAGTATGTGGTAGTTTTTAGAATCAAATCCCTCATTGAACCATCATTAAGCAACTGTAATTTTTTTTAACATTGGTTTTAACAAAAGACTTTGATAAATATAAGTTTGTTTGTTTTTTTTGTTCTGATTTTTTTTGCTGACATTTGCTGTTTTTTTTCTACAGGTGTTCCCTTTAAAACATTTGCCTACGTTAACCTCAACATTTCTGATGCCGACCTTAAGAAATGTGAGTGAACAGATTTGCTGCAAAGATCAAACGTGTCTTCTGTGTGTCCTAAACATATTATACTGTTCTCCTTGTTCTGACAAAATGAGTCATTGAATTGTGTTGTAAAGTTACAGTTAAATGAATTGAATTACATTGATATCAAAAGATGCCAGTTATTACTGAACTTTATGAAAGTTTTGTGTCTACATGTGCTTTATTTCCCTGTTTTTTTGTTCCTCAGGTTTGACAGTACTGAACAAATCCAAATGGAAAGGAGGAACTCTGCAGATAGAAACAGCCAAGGAGAGCTTCCTGCACAGGTAAAGCCATATTCAGATCAGAAATCTGTGCACTTTATAAGAGATGTAAGTTATGTAATTAACTGTAATGTTTTAAATGTAATGATGAAATATTGCTCTAATTCTACCCTCAAAGTAAATTGATTTTGATGCATGACATGTACAATGTTTGCGTCTCAGACTGGCTCAAGAGAGGCAGGTTGCAATGGAGCAGAACCTCTGTCAGCCTGAAGTGGAGGACAAGAGACGAAAGATGCTTGACTCCCTGAGTAAAGCTGGTGTTGACAATTTCACCATGAGGGCGGCAGTGCCAGGAACTGAAGTACCAGGGCACAAGGTGAGGTCTCCCTGTTTTCATCATGGTGCATCTCAGGAGTATTTTCCTCTCAGATGAAGACGATGAACTAACGACGTGATTATATTTTAATTTTAAGTACTCTTGTACAATCTTGTTTTAGGACTGGGTCGTCAGTAAATTTGGCCGGGTTCTCCCTGTTCTCCAGCTCAAGTGTAAGAAGGGGAACAAAGCCCGGACACTGAAGTACGACCCCTCCAAATACAGCCACAACATTCGCAGAATCAACCAGACCGAATCTGACACGCACACCCCTGTCTCCCAGCTCACATGGGAGGTACAAGGAGGTGATGATGACATCAGTAAAAAGAGGCGGGGCGAATTCCCTCCATATCAACCACCCAGACCCAAAAAGCGTTGGACAGATATTGACTCCCAAAAGGCTGTTGGTACAAACAGGTAATGAATGAATTATTCGTTTTAAAATTGAAGTTCCAACAGTTTTTTTTGTCTAAAAATGTTATTTTTTTACTGAGTTCCTGCTCTTAGATTGACAGCCTAACTTTTCCCTGTTGTTTCATTCAGGTCACAACAGAACAAGGTTGTAAATCACGTCGAGAAGCTTCAGACCAACAACAGACCTGAACTACACAACAACCATAAACCTTTTCTAAGGAATCCAGCACCTTTTACTGGTAGTGATGGTGACTCAGATGAGGAAATTCGTAGACTGGTATCAACTCAGAGCAACGTCTGTAATCCACCAGGTCATAAAGAGGAGGAAGATAATCTGGAAGTGGTGGGATTTGACTACATGGTAAAGTCGGGATTGTTCCACCTGCGACAGAAAGGTAGCACAAGAATTCAAATCCAGAAGTTCAAACATGACGTCTTTCATAAATGTGTGTTTTACGGGTTGTGCTGGAATGTGATTTCAGGTCAGCCGGATGATGAAGACGAGGATGGTTACAATTCTGCTGGTACAGATGAACTTTTTGCCTCCAGGAAACCAGCAACGCTTCCCTCTCTTCCTGGAGCTCCACTGCAGGAGAAACAGACTTTAAACACTGACAAAACACTCTCAGAGAATGGAGTGAGGAAGAGGAAAACTCAGAAGAAAGACCAAGTTAGAAAAGTGGAGAGGGAGACGGAAGAAGATACCAGGAAGTCTTTATGTGCCGAAAAGAAAGAGGAATGTGTTCAAAAGAGTTCACAGAAACAAGACGGCAGTTCCAACAACCACAGTAAAAAAAAGGCAGTGGTCCCTGACCTAAACCCCCCCTCATCAGATCTAGATGAAGATGGGGATGAGGAAGGAGATGAGTCAGAATCGGCTGATTCCTGTTCAGACTCTGAATATGAGGCCATGTTTTTGAATGCTACCTGTATGGAAATCTCTTTTACTGATCTTCAAAGACTGGCTGAAGAATCTCAGCAGACTTCTGAATCGATTCCCAGCATCAATGGAACCAAGTTTGAAAAAGAAACTGACCCTGAATCTGTCCCTGCAAAACAGCGAGTGCCAAAAAAAGGCACTATGCCAGAGGAGATCCTCGCCTCCATCATGGGGGAGGGCGACAGCAGTGATGAGGAAGAGCAGCAGAAGAAGAAGAAAAAATCGAAACAAAAAATAGTAACTCAACTGCCCGCATTTCAAGGGACGAAAACACTAAAGGATAAAACAGAGGCAGAAACTACTACAGATGACGAGGAGGAGGTGGTGGTCCATCAGGCTGTGCTTTCATTTCCGGATAAAGCAAAGAGTCCACTCTCTTCTTCTTCTTCATCGTCCTCCATTGAAGAAGATGAGGAGGAGGAGGACGAGAAAGTCTCTGCAGAAACTGGTGAGAAAACAGCAACTCCTCCTAGTCCCTCCTCTGAATCCTCCAGTGAAGAAGAAGAAGAGGAGGAGGAGAAAGTGACAGAGAAAACTGCTTCCAGAGTAAATTTAGGAGCCAAGGAGGAAGAGGAGCTGCAGAAGAAGGCCAACATGAGACGACTGGCTGCCATTCAGCAGAGGCAGAAAAAGGCTGAAGAAAATAAGAAGCTCATCCAGGGGGCCTTAGCCAACCTGGTGTGTGTTAACTGTTCACCTTGAATTTCCTTGAATTAGAGTAAGAACAACAAACTTACAAAATGATTTACTTCTTGTACCAATAACAACGTACAAATAGAATAGCTCTAAGATAACATTTAATTACATATAGTAAAAAAAAAATGTGTCAATGAGTTTTAGTTTTAGAAGGAGGAGAATCCACAAAAGTATTACAGTATTTTCCAGACTATAAATCGCACCAGTGCCCTCTAGCGGCTGCCAGTGTGAAAATAACGAACATGTGAAATTATAAATTTTAATATATAAGACACACCTAAGTATAAGTCACAAACATAGCCAAAGGATGAAAAAAAAAGTGCGACTTATTGCCCGGAAAATACGGTATTTCAGGCCATGTCTGATAAACTCTCACCTCTTGCAGGATACTCCGACAACAGGAAAAGGGAAGCACATCGTCTTTGGTTCTGATGATGACGAAGAGGAGGAAGATGAGCAGCACACACCCTCAGAGATCACAGTGTCGAAGACCACTCTGTTCAGCGAATCAGAGGAGGAGACTACAAGTGATGAGGAGTCAGCTGAGAAAAGCAACAAAGACAAAGTGAGTTCTGGTCTAAAGAAGCAGAGAAGTGTCCGTCTGTGGCACTAATTTAAATATGTACTTCTTTTTCATCATCATCTAAAGAACACAGGTCCTCAGTTATTTGGAGGGAGTGATGGTGAGGAGGAGGAAGAGGAAGATGAAAGCAGGTTTGAGATCAGGCCCCAGTTTGAAGGTCGTGCAGGTCAGAAGGTAAGTTCACACAAATTTCTTCCATTCTCACTCTCACAGGCTTCGTTTATAGAGATTCTGTCAAAACCAATGTGTTACCAAGTGGATTGTGGGAAACTGTAGACTAGTGTTTTTCAACCATGGGTCCAGCCTTAGGTGAGGTCACCTGGAATTCAAATGGGGTCGCCTGTAATGATGAGTAATTGATTAAGTGAAGTATTTGCAACACATTATATCAAACATGATCAAAAACCTCAAGAAAAAACTAAATGTCTTAATTTCACAATTATTTATGAATAACTGTGATTAAACCACAGGTACCCTGTTTTATCTCTGAATGAAAACCCTAATAAAATATTTTTTTCACCAATTAATTTACTGGGTGTCTGTTTCTCGCTCCTGTCCAGCTGATGGAGCTACAGTCTCGGTTCGGGACAGATGAACGATTTCGGATGGACTCTCGTTTCCTGGAAGACGCCAAGGACGAAGATGAAGAGTCAGGTGAGTGTTGACGTCGGGTTCCCCCACTTCTGCTGTTTCAAATACACATTCACTTTACATCCATTGTTCATGACCTAGGAGAGAAGAATAGCATAACGGAAGATAAATCTCTGAAGGAGGAGAAAAAGAAGAACCTGTCCATCCTGCAGAGCGTCCTGGGCAGCAGCCAACAACCGTGCAGCAGCAAGACCGCAATCAAAGCCAAGACATTTAGGTAAATCCACTGTCAGTCACAATGTAAATGTAAGATTCGGTACGAGATGAATTGAAGATTCAAATGTGTTTTTGCAGAGACGTCTCAGGTCTGCACTATGATCCCAGCAAAGAAGAACACGCAGCATTTGAGAACAAACCAAGTGAAACCAAAGAAAGGTATGAACAGAGATTTTTTTTTTACCAGTTTTATCACATCCAAAATACACAAACACACAATATGAGATACATACTTACACCATATATGGTTTTATTGACTTGTGATCTGTTGTCTTCGCAGTAAGGCAGCCAGGAAGAAGAAGAGAGAAGAGGCTCTGAAGCTTCCAGAGGTTTCTAAAGAGATTTACTATGACGTGTCCGGGGACCTGAAGGCCGTCTTCGGTCAGACAAAGACGGAAAATGTCACTGAGGTAGAAGAGGAAAAAACTAACTGGGACCAAGAGGAGGAGGAGGAGGAGGAGGAGGAAGAAACCGAGAAAGATGAAGAATCCACTTCACTATTGACTCAAGTCTCAGCTGAGGAGAAAACAGAGTCTGGATTCAAATTCTCCTTCTTTGGAAATGACACAGAAACTGAAGAAAAAGCGACAGGTAAGTCTGTGTGTCCTAATGTCTATAAAACTTTAAAGGATGTTTATAATTTAGTTGTTCATGTGTTTCTTGCAGAAGAGTACAAGGTGGAGACCATCCAGGCTCCAAAAGTGTCATGGCAGCAAGATCGACGTTTTCAAGACAGCAGCTCAGAGGAGGAGGAGGAGGAGGAAGAGGAGGAGCAGCAGCAGTGGCACAAAGAGGAAACCAGGGAGGAAACAAGTGCCACACATAAAACCTCAGAGTATGACAACATCACTGTGTTTTCTTCTTCTTCTTACTTGTATTTAAACGCTAAAACAAATCCTTTTCACCCCTGTACACACAACAGCTGCTGTGACCGACTCATGGCTACATCTTTACCAAGCAGATTTTCTGACACTTTGAAGCTTGATCTTGACATTGACCTTTGTGTGTTCCTGTTCACAGAGAAGCCACTCCTCTGAAGTCCAGCCTCTTCTTCTTCTACCCTGAAGACAGCAGATTGACAGGTAGACTCAAATTCAGACACAGTTGTCCCTGAAAATCAGCCAGATTTGGCCCGCGGGCCTTAGTTTGACACCTGTGCTTTACACCTCTTTCACAACAGTGTACATAAACCCTGTATTACCTTCTTTACATTATTGTTTGTGTATTATTGTATTTACTCTTTTTGCTTGTATTCTTCATACCACCACCAGAGGGCCCAAAGTTGTTCCGTTGTTCCTCTCAGTTGGAGGAGCAGAGGGAGCAGTGGGAGGAGAGGAGAAACCAACTCCGACAGGTACAAATCACTTTAATAACGGCTTTTAACAGAGCAATATGGGACTTTAAACTCAATTACTTTGAAGAAATGTAGATCAGTCAGGTGAAAGAATAAATTAGTCAGAAGAACTGACGACAAGTAGGTTGCAGTAGTCACAACATAGTTCAGTCGTTGTTCATCTCAACTGTGAAAATATACAATTAATGTAAACAAAGTTCTGTTTAACGTAGTGTATAAGAAAAACGGTTTGCATTTTTCATATTATTTTTACAGGAGTGCCGTAAGAAACACAAGGAAGCGTGCAGGAAACTGAAGTCCTCCATGAAGAGCTGATGGTGAAGGAAGAAGAGCTTGGGTCTCAGTTTTCAACAGCCTTCTTCTCTCAGATGTTTTTTGCTACAAACTTTGAACATGGTATAGAGGAAGCTTCAAAATTATCCCAAAATGACAAGGACTGGATTTTTTCCTGACATTTTTGTTGGTGAATTGGTGTAATTTTGTAGTGTAATAAAGGTAAATGCTATTTTGTATAATTATTAGTTCAGTAAACATGCATTGGAAATAAATGAATGCATGTTACATGCAATTAAAAATACTTAAAACTATAATGTTGTAGCCTATTTTCCATTAATTCTATTCTCCTTTACTGAGACTTGAAGAACAGTGAAATATTTGTTTCTTATTTGACCAAATATTTACCCCGCTGAGAAGGTGCTGAAACACAACCTTATTGTTCTTGTGGACTTGAAATATTGATACCACATCAATTAATGTTTTATTGTTCTCAGCCAACACTTTTCCCACATGAGTAAGATCTGATGACTCAATAGTTACTCACTGTATACATCGTTCTACTGGCAGTGTAGTAGCCTGGCTAACTGACTGGAGCTCAAAGCCACTTTCTTTAATGGAACTGTTACAATTATTTAAATTGCCTCCCAAATCAATAAAAAACGGACAAATCTTTACGGCAACATTTCAATCAATGTCAACACCAGTAAATGTTTTATGTTGTAGTGTATTACTTGCCAACAGTCCTACCTTAGATTTGCCATCAGCAGGCTTCCATTCTTCCAGAGGTATTAGCGCCATCTGTCGGCAAGTATCTACTGAGAAACAGCCACGTTACCTAAAAAAGAAAGAAAAATAATTTCCCTGCTCATAAACATAACATATTTACTTGTCATGATCAGTAACGTTACATTCATTTCTCTCTATTTTTTCTTCTTTATTTCTTATATAATTCTATATTTTTTTAATAGTATTGAGGTAGTTCTTAGTTATTATTACTAATTAAATTTATTTTTAGTTGTAAAGTTGTTTCATGCAGACAAAAAACAACTTTCCGTTGGTGTAGTTTATTTTGAAACCTAAACCGGAAGCTTCGTGGTGGGTCTGGATGCTGGTGAAAAACAAGTGTGCCTTCTGAAGTTGCGGTTGTTGCAGAGTGTAAACTTCTCCATCTTCAGCACCAGAGTGGGTCACACACGGTCACGGATTCATGAACAGCTGGAGCTTCACAGAGTCACAAGGTTGTGAAAAAACATTTTCACTAGAAGAAGCAAAGTTAACAAAAAGAAGGATGAGCCCGGTTTTATTTCTTTTATTTCTCTACCTTTGGACGTCAGAGCCGCGGCTTGTACACTCACACCCGGGGGTGCAGTCTAGGACCGGGGCTGGGCTGGAGACGCAGCTGGAGGTGGATGCTGGAACCTCGGCTGCAGAGACAGATGACTCCGTGTCCTTGACCAAGACTCATGAAGACCGCATTGAACGGTGGGAAGTTACTGTCCTGAGGAGAGTCGCCCGAGGAGCCAAAGATGGGGAGTCCAGAAGAAGAGACCCGCACCCTGCGAGCAGTCAGGGGAAACCCCGGCCTTACGACGATCCGCACGGTTACTTCACTACACCGCGGACCGAGCGGCTCACCTCCGCCCCGGTGACCGACCACTCCTCCTCGGGTGGTCGTGGTCCAGGGCTGCTCAACCCGCTGTTCCCGGTGACAGACAGCACCTACTGGGCGTACGCCGTCATGCTATTAGCGTTGGTGCTTTTTGCCGTGGGCATCGTGGGAAACCTGGCGCTCATGTGCATCGTGTGGCACAACTTTTACCTAAAGAGTGCGTGGAACTGCATCCTTGCTGGATTGGCCTTCTGGGATTTCGTGGTCCTCTTCTTCTGCCTCCCCGTGGTGGTCTTCCATGAACTGACCCTGAAGAGGCTGTTGGGAGATCTGTCCTGTCGACTAGTGCCCTATCTGGAGGTGAGGCCGAACCCACGGGGGTCCACGTGTCTCAGGTGTACATCTTTGGTTTAATTAAGTTAACTATACTTAAGACTAGGTCCTAATCTGAAATCATCAGATATTTGGAGCAGATAGAAATTTAGGATTGACTAGGATTGAGTTTTACACAGTGAATATAATTTATATATATTTATATATGTATGTATGTATGTATGTATGTATGTATCAAATGTATACATAATCCAGTGTGATTCCTACAAAATGTTTTTTCACCTAGTTGACTGAACAATGTTTCTGACAAATTTACAAAGCCACAAGAATAGTCACAAAGACACAAAAGGTCCAACCATTAATCATCACAAACGAACTCCAACAGACTGAACAGACAACAAAAGGTTTGGCAAAGTTAATCATTGACCAAAGAGTGATGTAAAACTGTCACACTGACCCCAAAAGTTGCACCTCGGAGTTTGAAAAGAAACTCCAAAACACCAGCAGTTGGACATTTGACCACCACAAAGCCGTTGGTTGTACGACCAAAGCAAATAGAAGTGAAACAAAGGTTAACAGAAACAACCTTCCATGTGGATAATTTATTTAGATCTGCCACACTCACACACAGCCACGGCTTCACACTGTCACTGCTGTCTCTGCACTCGGCCGATTCACTCATTGTAAGGTTTTCACTTCATAACAACACGTGCAGCAGGCCTGTGATGAATGGCCTGATTGTGCGCTGTCGCTCCTCTCTTCCACACTCACAGCAGTCTTTGCTTTTAACAAACGTGCTGTTATGGGCTGTTTGGCCTCTTTACTCGTCGGTAATGGACCATCAGAGGAGAGAGAAGTCTGCTTCTCATTCAAACAAGGAGATAAAACAGAGTTTCAGTCCTGATTGTCTGTCACAACCTGTCACTGTGCTGTTTATTTAACCAAACTAAGTAAACGAGACTATAAAATTAGGTCTTAACTTTGCAGGAATCGTTGGGGGACCAACAAATGGCCCAAGTGGGACAGAGAAGAGCTTCATTAGAGGAGAGCAGCAGCTGTTGAATATGGAGATGTGAAAGATAAACTGTTTTGAAGAACTGGGTCAAATCAAGTCAACGGTGTTTAGTCTGTTTCTGAAAGGCACCTCAGTGCCAGGCACCAAGTATTTAGTCAATGGGCCTGCTGACTAGACTCCCAGCTGTCATCCAATGGTTGGGTTTGTTCAATAACTACTGGGGAAACATAGTCAAATCTGTCTCCTTGTTTAGTCCAGAAATCCTAAGATTTAGGACAACCACCTTGTGCTGCCCATGTCTGGGCCACATCACACATGCCGTGGTGCTCCAGTCCCAGCAGTTTCTCTCAGGGGTGGTGGGTTCTTCAGATGGGGCAGGGTGCATGACCAGACCCTGCAGCCCACCGTAGGCCACCCAGCTCTTGCTGACAGGGACCTGGTCCACCTCCAGGACTTAGCCCTGGGCTTCCTCCTTCCTCTATTTTCCATGGGATTCTCTGAACCCCCCTTTTTCTAACTCTTCAACTGGGACCGTTTTGCATTTGGAGACCATACTTGGAGAACATAGTCCTTGTGTTCAGACGCACTCAAACCTCTCCAACATGACAAGGTGATGATGGAGTGCCTACTTAGAGAGATGTTCATGACATGTTCAACTCAGAGGAGACCCTGTGGGGGCAGAACAGGGGCAGGTGAACAAGGAGAGCCCCAGTCCCACTTAGTAAGGATGGTTAGGGAAAGTGAAGTCTTGGAGCTTCTATGCCCCTCACCTAATTCTAAATGAATAATTGATGATGGATGTGTAGGATGTAGTCCATTCACTGTAGTCAGTGGATACAAAAACAATGTGAAAAAAATCATATATATACCTAGAGCCATTTTAATAATTGAATCAATTTTTCAACCTTGGGGTCACGACCCCATGTGGGGTCACCTGCAGTTCAAATGAGGTCACCTGGAATTTCTTGCAATTGATAAAAAATACAAAGACAAATATGAAAATATTATTCCTTTTAAAGTTATGATTAACACCACACACACTTTCTTTACTAATGTTGCTACTCTGTATTTGCAACCAGACACCCAGACCCCATTTTATGTGAAAATGGGGTCACAGGCCAAAAAAAGGTTGGGAACCACTGCATCAAATAAATATAAATATCCTGTTTAACTGAATCTTTCCAGATGATCCACCAGAACATTAACAAGGAGAGGATACGGAGTGTCATTTATTTTAGTTAATTTAAATTCAAGTCTTGGAGTAAAGTTCTACAAGATAAATAGTCGCCATCGCAGCCAGAGATACATTTCATACGACATCAATTTCTAAAACCCATTCAGCATTCGTTTAACGTTGGCAGCTTAGCTTTTTTCACACCTCACTGAAACCAACCATCCACTGCAGGAACATCATTAGAAATGCATCTGCTCAATATGCTGATTCCTCCATTGACTGCCCACTTTGGATGCCAAACTATACTGAGGTAAAGCCAAGGCAACAGCCATCATATAACTCTGCTTTCCATTAAGGAAAAGTTTACATTTGTGATTTTCTTTTCTTTTTGAAATGTAAATTAACCTTTGGGAAAAGTTTGAACCCTGAGCAATGGTTTTGGAAGTTTGTTACTCCTTCAACTACGATTGCTCAGAATAGATGGTTGTTTTTTTTTACTAATTGGTAAAAGCAAGCTTGAACAAAGCCTTTAAACAGGCTGCCAGCCTCCGTTCTCTTTGTTTCCTCACCTATTCTCATGCAAACGAGTGAGTGGATTTCTCCGAGTATTCAACATCTTTTAAACTCTCCTCTGCAGCTCGTACTCTGAGGGCTGTATTGAGCCGTGTGTACAGCAGGTCAGACTGCCAGCTGCCACTGTGCCACTCTGTTAGTTTAACTATTGAATCAATTTTTCAACCTTGGGGTCACGACCCCATGTGGGGTCACCTGCAGTTCAAATGAGGTCACCTGGAATTTCTTGCAATTGATAAAAAATACAAAGACAAATATGAAAATATTATTCCTTTTAAAGTTATGATTAACACCACACACACTTTCTTTACTAATGTTGCTACTCTGTATTTGCAACCAGACACCCAGACCCCATTTTATGTGAAAATGGGGTCACAGGCCAAAAAAAGGTTGGGAACCACTGCATCAAATAAATATAAATATCCTGTTTAACTGAATCTTTCCAGATGATCCACCAGAACATTAACAAGGAGAGGATACGGAGTGTCATTTATTTTAGTTAATTTAAATTCAAGTCTTGGAGTAAAGTTCTACAAGATAAATAGTCGCCATCGCAGCCAGAGATACATTTCATACGACATCAATTTCTAAAACCCATTCAGCATTCGTTTAACGTTGGCAGCTTAGCTTTTTTCACACCTCACTGAAACCAACCATCCACTGCAGGAACATCATTAGAAATGCATCTGCTCAATATGCTGATTCCTCCATTGACTGCCCACTTTGGATGCCAAACTATACTGAGGTAAAGCCAAGGCAACAGCCATCATATAACTCTGCTTTCCATTAAGGAAAAGTTTACATTTGTGATTTTCTTTTCTTTTTGAAATGTAAATTAACCTTTGGGAAAAGTTTGAACCCTGAGCAATGGTTTTGGAAGTTTGTTACTCCTTCAACTACGATTGCTCAGAATAGATGGTTGTTTTTTTTTACTAATTGGTAAAAGCAAGCTTGAACAAAGCCTTTAAACAGGCTGCCAGCCTCCGTTCTCTTTGTTTCCTCACCTATTCTCATGCAAACGAGTGAGTGGATTTCTCCGAGTATTCAACATCTTTTAAACTCTCCTCTGCAGCTCGTACTCTGAGGGCTGTATTGAGCCGTGTGTACAGCAGGTCAGACTGCCAGCTGCCACTGTGCCACTCTGTTAGTTTAACTATTTTCATGCTAATTAGAGCCTGGTGTTAATTATCTGGCGCTGTGTTTTAACTGTTTGAAGTCATTAAACACTCACAGAAGGAGGACAAGTCTCTCTGAAGGCGCGCTGTGTTTTCAGCCAAAACCACAGACTTTAATGTTCTCCGAGCCCCAATAATTGTCCCCCCGTCTGCAGGCTGAGACCTGTTACAGCGTAATTGCTCTCTTTTCCCCCTCCGTGACTCCTTTTGTTTCCTTGAGTCTGTATTCAAAAGGTTAAATTAAGCATCCTGGGTCCTCATTGCTGTAATTGTGACTAATTCATTCAGCGTAACAAGACAGAGGAAAAACCTTGGACACGTGTTTCCGCCTGTGTTTGCATCTGCTGCCTCTCAGTTGACCTCAGGCTGGAGTGAAGCAAAAGGGAGGTTTTAAAATAAGACTCCACGTTGACGTGTAAACTGGGATAATTCATTTGTGAAATTAATCAGATTAAAATCTCAGCAGATCACACACTGTATATGGAATAATTCCACTGTCCGTCCACTCATCGTTGCTCTAATACACAGTCAACAGACACACGGTCGTCGTTATTTATACACACTGTGTGAAAGAGCTTCTGTTTCACTTACACACCTTGAGTTTAAAACACTATCTCCAATCCCAGAAGTCAGATGGCAAGCTAGAATTAGCCTAGCTTTACCCATCGCAGGGCGGTCAGTAAGTCAACGACTGACATGCTGACTGACACAATTAACCAAACTGACTAATATTGTTGCGATGATGATTTCACCGACGCGCAAAATTTTGAGTTTTAGTTTAATATATATATTTTTTGACATATATCCATATTGAATATGTCATCATTTGCATTAGTTAGGAATAAAAACAGGTGAAAAACATCTACATCTAATAGCACTTGATTTATTTTGAATCTTGATTCATTTCAGCTACCCTCTGATTAATCATATCAACAGTATGATGTATTATCCACTGCAGTCTGAAGTTGTGTCCTTCTCTGTCGTTTCTCAGGTGACGTCTCTCGGCGTCGCTACTTTCAGTCTGTGTGCACTGAGTATCGATCGCTTCCATGCAGCCACCGGCCCCGGGCCTCTACAAGCACCGAGGGTGGAGTCGTGTCAGTCCATTCTATCAAAACTGTCAGTCATTTGGTTGGGCTCCATGGTGCTGGCTGTACCCGAGCTGCTTCTGTGGCAACTCTCACAGGAAACAGTCAACCTCCCTGTGCTCCCCACTGACCTGTATCACAGCCAATCAGGAGGCTCGCTGACGGCAGCACTGAGAGCAAACACTGGCTCCTTTAAGGTGGACATCTGTGTCCGAGAACCTTCCGTGGAGCTGCCGGAGAACATCTACGCTCTGATCCTGACCTACCACGAGGCCCGTATGTGGTGGTTCTTTGGATGCTACATCTGTCTGCCCCTGCTCTTCACACTGGCGTGCGACTTGGTGACGAGGCGAGTGTTAGCTCAGCGTCTGCTGCAGAAACCCGAAGGTGACAAGGTGACCAGCAGGTGCTCCTCCTCCTCTTCCTCATCCTCCACGACGAAGAAGAAGCAGCATGTGAGGGTGCACAGGCTCCGCCCTACCGTCATGGCGCTCACCGTCCTGTACATCACGTGCAACTTACCAGAGAGCATTTGTAACATCACACTGGCTTACGTCTCGGTCCCCGAGTCCACGACACTGCACCCTCTGATTTTAACAGCGCTGGGTTTGATTGGACAGTTCCTGCTGTTCGTACGATGCTCAGCGACGCCGGTGTTGCTGCTGTGTCTGTGCCGCTCCCTCGGACAGGCCTTCATGGACTGCTGCTGCTGCTGCTGTGAGGAGTGCCTGCCTGATAGCAACTCCTCTTCCTCTTCCTCAGCATCAGCTGCTGCCATGTCCACCCTCTCCTCTCCCACATCACCCACTCCATCATCTCTGTCTCCATCCAACAAGGACGAGACGCTGAAGAGTTTGTTGGGACCAGAACCAGCTGTCTGTGACAGGGCCAAAGACTCTTTAGCGATTGGGACGCCCTGTTGAAGCTCAGAACTGCCTTAACATGTAGTTTTTCAAAATTTGTTTTTTTTTTTCTTTCAATATTTGACGACGTTCAAAGGATATCAATTAGGACACATTGCATACATAAGATTCACAGCCAAGATAAGGGAACATGGTTTAGAGGGCCACAAGGCTAAAGATACATAATGAAACTCATTGAATTGTTCCTTTACACATGGTTTTATGGAGACCCAATAATGTGTTTTGGTAAAAACTGTAGAAACATTTCTTTTGTAGTTAATGGTAAATTTTGTCCATGTGCTGGGTTTGTTTCCTGTCCAGTATTTAACAATACATTTCCTTTACTCTGAAGGAGGGTTACAGTAGGTAAGAGCAACAGTACATTTCTTTTTTTTATTTAACATCCATTCCAGCTGTTTACAGTATTTGTGTAATAACTTACTTTGTACATCATTATATTAAGTATATACTGTATATATATTCATACAGTATATATCTATATAATGTTAATAATGCAGAGCCATTTGTAAAGGACTAACCTAGCTTAAAATGTTTATCTCCACGATGTACGAAGGCCGTCTTCACAACCTGCCAAACCTCTAGCTGTGTAATAAATGAGCAAAAAGTTCAAAAACAAATTTAAAATATGTATATTTGTGAAAATAATAAAGCAAATAATTGCTTTAATTACTCAACACCAATAACAGAACCAACAAGAACCAATAATAAAATGAACTAATGATGAGTCTGTAGGAGACCTCTGAGAAACATGATGTTAAAATGCAACACCTTATGAAATGATGGTATCTTTTTGTCTTCTGTTAGTCTCTGTAAACACACATAAAACAAACCTTACTTTTTTCTAATTGTTTGCAGGACGTATCTTTGAGTTATTTTTTTCCCCCTAAACTGTTAGACTTCTTTTTTTTATGAGGTGTCTGGAATAAAATCCAGATCTTTTAGCGAGGACAGTTTTTGTATACGTAGCTGGTTTATATAATATTTGATATAGTATTGTGGTTAAACCCAGGGTATATTTAAACCTAGCCTGTGTAACTGACAGTCTAAAAGTATGTGTTAATCAGAGACCTTGTACTTTTACAGATTTTTTTTTTCTGTATTTCTGTATCGTAGCCATTAACAAGGGTCTAACAGACCTTCAGGTTATTAAGGTGAAACGCCTGCAGTACTGTAGACGAGAGAGAGACACTGTACGAGTGTGTTTTAGATCAGCTACAAACACTTGGACTGATGTCAGTAAAGAGAAAAACATGCTGTTTGTATTTTTTTAATGATTTTCTTGTTGCAGCTTCATGTAGACCTCACTGCCAACATACAGTGGAGTCGTCACGTAGACTGCCGCGCGGTGTGATGTTGTGTACAGTATGTGTATGAAACACCAGTAGATGTTTGACTGGCTTATATCCTGTGTATCCTGTTTATCAGATTTTTTTTTTACTTGTTTTGTTATTTTTGGTTCAGTAAAGATTACATTTTGTCAAAGAAGATGTCTTGTGTTTTAATTTTATGTCTTATTTTATGTCTTATATATAGTTTATAATTTTAAGCTAATTCTCTAAGGTTGCTAATCTGCATTTATATAAATGCCTTCATAAATTCAATATACAAAATAAAATTCTGATTCTTAAAATCCACTGAATTCTAAACTAGAATTGTAACCCGTTAACTCCTGGGAATCTTGGTCGTGATTCAGTTTTCTATAATAATGAAGGAGAGATGAAGAAGTTCTCACACACTCTGATCTCTGTGGTAAAGAATGCTGCACACCCACTGAATGAGAGAGCAGCTCATGCCTGACTGTGACGCTCCTTTTTTGTCATCATTCAATTATTGAAGGTCACAGCTTCACAATAACAGTTGGCCTTTCAGTTTCTGAAGACATTAAAGAACGCAGTGGCTCTGTGAATCGTTGCCGGGGGGAGCAGACAAGAATTCCCCGCTTTCTGAAATAATATTTATCAGCCATTCACTATTTGTTTTTTATAAATAAAAGCAGTGTTAAACAGCGTCCTCTGTCAGTCTGGACCAATCGCTTTCACTCAGAGCACTGAAAACAAACCAGTCTGACTGTTGTTAGGAGACTTTGTGTAAACAGAGATTTTTGTTAGGATCCCTGAGGGAAAACATTTCTGGTGATTCACGCATTTGACTCATATCCATAGTTGCTGGAGCCATCTTCCTGCAACTATTGTTGGTGTTTTGAAGGCAGTGATGTGCAGTGAAAAGATGGATAAGTTTCAATTCCACCGCTGTGATTTTAATTTGATAAGAAACGAATTAGAAAAATCACAAAATTCTCCTTTAAAAATAGTCAAGACCTCAGTTTTATCATGTTATTAATATTCTCTT